CTGATTGTACCCAAAAAAACAGTAACTCTCCATTCTCCCTCCCTGAAGCCATTGGCTACCACCGTTCTACCTTCTGTCTCTGTGAATTTGACTTTTTTAGGTAACTCATGTAAGTGGATTCATTCAGTATTTATCCTTTTGACGTGGCTTATTTCATTTAGCATAATATCCGCAAGGTTTATCCATGTAGCATGTGATGGAATTTCCTTTGCTTTGAAAGCTGAGTAATATTTTACTCTATGGACATACAATGTTGTGTTTATACATGAAGCTGTTAACACGTGCAGCACATTTGCTGTTCATGCTACTATGAACACAGGTGTGCACATTTCCCTTCGAGACCCTGCTTTTCATTCTTTTGGGAGTAAACCCAGTGGAACTGCTGGATCATATGGTAGTTCTGTTTTTTACTATCCTGAGAAATCTCCGTACTGTTTTCCACAGTGACTATACCATTTTACATTCCCACCAACTGTACACAAGGGTTCCAGTTTCTCCACGTCCTCATCAATGCTTCTTATTTTCTGTTGTTTGATAGTAGCCATCCTAACAGATATGAAGTGGTACCTTGTGGTTTTGATTATCGTTTTTATTTTATTTTATTTTTTTGGATGAGGGAAGGTTTGACCCAATATGTGTGTCTGTCACTAAGATAGAATGAATGTAATTTCCAAAGAAAAACAGTCCCAGGCCACCTCTTCTGGATCATGTCCCAACAGATTGGAAGTGCTGGGACCTTTCTGTGATTGAAGGACCCTGATATTTGTTGTCAAACTGCCTGATAGTCCTTTATCTTCTGCGGGGAAATAAACGTAACTGTGTCTTTCAGTCTGAACTGCGGTGGGTGGTGAGACGAAGCATCACATGCAGCAGAGCCTGCTGCCCCTCCTCAGCCTCTGCACATGCCGTGTGAAAGTGGGGGACCTGCTGCCCCTCCTCAGCCTCTGCACATGCCGTGTGAAAGTGGGGGACCTGCTGCCCCTCCTCAGCCTCTGCACATGCCATGTGAAGGTGGGGGACCTGCTGCCCCTCCTCAGCCTCTGCACATGCCGTGTGAAGGTGGGGGACCTGCTGCCCCTCCTCAGCCTCTGGACATGCCGTGTGAAGGTGGGGGACCTGCTGCCCGTCCTCAGCCTTTGCACATGCCGTGTGAAGGTGGGGGACCTGCTGCCCCTCCTCAGTCTCTGCACATCCCGTGTGAAGGTGGGGGACCTGCTGCCCCTCCCAAGCCTCTGCACATGCCCTGTGAAGGTGGGGGACCTGCTGGCAGAGCTGGTGTCCTGCTGTCTCTGTAGTTAACTCTTAGGAGAAGTAACGGTTGTGTGTGCTGAGGTGGAGAATGGAAAGGGAAGCAGGGGTGGAGAGCTGTTGCTTCTAAGGTTCCCAGAGTTCTTGGACTCAGTTTTCCTGTTGGCAAATAAATGGGTCAGAACTTAGGAATGTGGCAATTAGGTTGATCCAGGAAGTTGAAGTTTTATATCTGTGTTTTTCTGTGCATTTGTATATGTGTAACACGTTTACAGAAATAGTTGAAGCTTATTGATTATTTTCTTCAGAAGATATTATTTTCCAGTGTGTAAATCATAGGTAATCAAATATGGGTTAAAGTGAGACAGAGACCCTTGGGCTATTTCAGACTGAGTTTTGAGAGAAAAAATGATCATGGGTCTAAGGCATCACTCTTGGTTTTATAGGTTTGGAAACTCAATGTTATTAGTTCCAGCTAGGAGTTATCAGTGGGGTTTGCAGAATTGTAAGATACTGCCAACTAAGAATGACAGTTCATTAATTGATGAGAACTGTGCCTCTCTGAGAAAGCCCTCACTCCTGGGGGGGTGTGTACTCAGCAAACCTTTTCTGTTGGCCTATTTCTATTCTATCTGCCTATTTCCATCTGTCTACGGAAGCTTGATGAATAGGCCTTCCTCGTTCTGGGGATCTTTCTGTGTATAGAATCGATACCCTCTCCCTAGGGTAGTGATGGAGATTCATTTTTCAAAAATCCCGTTGTGCAATTTATTAAATTATTGTTTCAGCTCCAGACTCTGTGCTCTGTTCTGTGGCGTTAGAGCTGGGAACACACATCCCAGCTGCTTTGCCAGTGGCTTCTGGGCTGCCTGCATCAGGAAGGGGCTGTAGAGGCGCCAGCAAGATGGGAAGCAGAGAAGGGTCTTCTGTCCTTCCTGTTGGCTTCCTATTGCTCCAGCTGACACTATTGAATTCAGTTTGCAGTTATCCCAGCATTGGCCAGCCAGCCTCATTGTCCACACTCCTTGCAGATTTCACCACCCCTCCAGAGAGGTCTCTACCTCGGGGGCCCCTCCCCTAGGCTTCTAAGGTCGAGTCTAACGGGTTCTCTTTGTTCCCTCATTCCTAGGGATGGCTCCTTCCTGCCCTTGCTATTTCCCTGATATTTAGAATTACCTGGTTACTGACTTTCTACCCAGTTAAGAATTTATATTTTAAAGCCCTTCTGTTCAAAAAGCTTGTGTAGCTCCTGCATTTTAATTGGGTCCTGACTAATACATCTGACTTCAACATTCTTTAGTAATCAGTCAGCAAAATGATCTCATGATAGAAATATTATATTTAATTGGATTACAGTTCACCTTATATTCCTTTAGATTTTTTTTTTTGGCACTGATCTTTCTGATTTTAGTTAGGCTTTTCTGTGTGATTCAAGATGTAACTCCTCTCATTAGCTACTTTCTAAATCATCATACTGAGTTATTTCCTGGAAAGATCACCACAGATGGCTGATGTCATTCATTTTGTTGGCTCTTTTTGACTTTATTTTTAGAGGGTGACATTTCTTTTATTTTTGTTTTATTTTTATTTTATTTTTTTTGAGATGGAGTCTTGCATGATCTCACTGCAACCTCCGCCTCCGGGGTTCAAGCGATTCTTCTGCCTCAGCCTCCTGAGTAGCTGGGATTACAGGCACACACCACCACACCTGGCTAATTTTTGTAGTTTTAGTAGAGATGGGGTTTCACTATGCTGCCCAGGCTGGTCCTGAACTTCTGACCTCAGGTCATCCACCCACCTCTGCCTCACTAAGTTTTGCTGGGATTACAGGTGTGAGCCACCGCACCTGGCCAAGGGTGACATTTCTAAACCTCATCTCTCAATCCTGTGTCCATTATTCAGTATTCCTTCAACTTGTAGATCGTGGCTACTACATGTTTAAGCAACATATAGCTCTAAAAACATTTGGGGCAGCTTATAAGAAAAAGTATGTATATTATATGTAAACACAGATTCCACTAAAATAAGAGTTTAAAAATCTAGGATCAAATTTAGGGGTGGAGGAGATGGGGAATAAAAAGATGAAGGAAAAAAGAAGTGGATGGAGAATTAAAGAATGAAGGAGAATTAACACTTAGCACCCCCCTTGAGCCGGATCCTGGCTAGGTGTTTGCCATCTGTGTTTTGTTTAATGCCCAGCATAATCCTGCGTGGTAGGTATATTACACCCATTTATAGGTCAGGAACCTGCAACCCAAAGAGCTGGCCGGCTGCACTCCAGTCCTCATACACTTTTCAGCGTACCTCTGCTGACGCTAGGTCAAGGGGAGCTCCTTTAGCCGAGCATCCAGTTGTACCTTGGTATCCAAAGCAAGAAAGGAAGCATGCTGGGCTACATAGTTCTCATCTGATAATGCAATGAAACATTTTCTTGGGAGAGATAAACATTTTCTTAGCCTTCAAGCTTGAGAAGAATCTAGTGGATATTAACTTAAAGGTCATTGAACATGGCAGTAGTGACCATGGGGGGAGGGGGAAGAAATAACACAAACCAAATGCAGAGATGCACACGTGGCCATTTATTTAAATCAATACCTGAAGCAGAAGCAGGAACATTAAACCACAGTTGTGTAAAGGCAATTCTAGGAGAAAAAGATTGCCTGTAGCTAGCTCTCTGCAGCCCTGACCTGGTCAAGGGTAAAGCTAGAGAGGCTGCGGACTGTGTTCTCTGCACTCCCTGCTACTTCACTCCTGGGAGGCAGCATGGTGTGGTTGCTAAGGGGCAGGCTTTCATAAGCGCTGTGAATCTGCCCTGGGCCATTTACCAGCCTTGCAAACGTGGGCAAGGTGTGGTCATGCTCAGCATGATGTCATTTTAGTGAATGACAGATCGCATACACAATGGTGGCCTCATAAGATTATATACTGTATTTTTACTGTACCGCTTCTATGTTTAGATGCACAAATACTATTATAGTGTGTACAGTATTGAGTACGGTAACAAGCAGTACAGGTTTGCAGCGTAGGTGTGTAGTGGGCGATACCACCTAGTTTTGTGTAAGTGCCCACTATGATGTTTCCACAATGATGAAATCACCTAAGGGCACATTTCTCAGAAGGTATCCCTGTCATTAAGCAACACATGACTGTACTTAATCTCTCTAAGCCTTAGCTTCATCCCTTATTAAATGAGGGTAATGATACTATTTCATTTGCCTGTGTGTGCGTGTGTGTGTTTGAGATAGGGTCTCACTCTGTCACCCAGGCTGGAATGCAGTGGCACAAACTTAGTTCACTGCAACCTCAATCTCCTGGGCTCAAGCAGTCTTCTTGTCTCAGCATCCTGGGTAGCTAAGAATACACGTGTGTGCCACCGTGCTGGCTAATTTGGTTTTTCTGGTAGAGATTGTGTCTTGCTGTGTTGCTCAGGCTGGTGTCAAACTGCTGGCTTCAAGTGATCCTCCTGCCTTGGCCTTTCAGAATGCTGGGATTGCAAGCATGAGCCGCCATTCCTGCCCTTATTTTTATATATTTAAAAACATATGCTTTCGGCCAAGCGCAGTGGCTCACACCTGAAATCCTAACACTTTGGGAGGCTGAGGGGGGCGGATCACCTGAGGTCAGGAGTTGGAGACCAGCCTGGCCTACATGGTGAAACCCCATCTCTACTAAAAGTACAAAAAAATTAGCTGGGCATGGTGGCTGGCACCTGTAATCCCAGCTACTTGGGAGGCTGTGGTAGGAGAATCACTTGAACCCGGGAGGCGGAGGTTGCAGTGAGCTGAGACTGTGCCATTGCACTCCACCCTGGGCAACAAGAATGAAACTGTCCAAAGTAATAATAATAATCCATATGCTTTCCCAACACAGCTGGACAGCTGATATTAAAAGATGATATATGTAGTATAATTCAAACTATTGCAAGAGAAACAGAACCAGACTGTTTGGGGAAGGGAGAAACAGTGAGGTTGTGGGGGCACTTACCTTGAATCTTGTTAGGTCCCTTGTGTGTTATTTTGCCTAATTCTCCCCACGGGTCTGCAAAGAGGACAATGATCTCCCCATGTAGAGACAGGAAGCAGATTCCGATTCCTCGCCTTACCTGTGTTAGATGTGCCCATAGCTCCTAATGAGGGCAAGGATTAATTGAAGGTGATGCAGGTAGGAGCTCTAAGCACGGGCCTCGATGATGTCTGTAGTTCAGTCACAGGAATGTCACTGCTGTTACAAATTGGCGCTTCTGCTCAGAGTCTGCTGGTGCTCAAATGGTTCCTTTCTGTCTCTGGTTGTGTTGGTTGAGACAGAGTAGCTGCAATCATCGTGTGTCGACCCAGAGCCTGACAAGCACAGAGCTGGTGCAGAACGTGGGCGGTGGCAGCAGACCCTTGGGGCTGTGATGCTGTTCTTTCTGTGGCTTGGGTGGACTTCCGTAGGGCAACCCGTCTAGCAGAGAGTAAAAACAGTAGCCCCGAGTGCTGGCTGTGGGCCACACGCTTTCGCGCACTTCTGTGTGTTAATTCACTTAATCCTTATAGAAACTTCATGAGGCGTTTTTAGTATCCTCATTTCACAGATGAAGCTGTCAGGGAGAGAGGTTGAGTTGCCCCAGTCTCACAGGTAGAATTGGAGGAGCAGGAATTCAGACCCAACCCTGTGGGCTTCTCGGCTGGCCCGCTCTTAGCATCCCAGTGTGCTGCTCTGTGATGAGCCCCAGTGTTGGGGTCCAGTCCCCACACGAGGTTCGAAGAGTTCTGAACACCTTTCTGGGGCTGGCTGGCTGCAGAGGGGTTGGTGACTCCAGTGTACTGTGGTGGCGATGGTCTCCAGCCGTGGGCATGTACTTCTCAGCTCCGCACCTCCTGAATCTGGTCAGTCTGGTGTCAAACTCAAACCAGTAGACTGCCAAGGATGTGACGACACTGGGCATGGTGCAGGCCCTATCCTCGAGGGGCTTGGTGGCCCCACCTGGGTCCCCTGGGGCCCAGCTGCCATGCTGGAGGATGTCCCAGCTGCTCTGCTGGAGAAAGAAGCCATGTGGGGTCTCCTAGAGGGTGAGACATGTGGAGAGGAGGGAGGAAGGGAGAAGCTGAGGCCTCAGACAGGCGAGAGAGCCCCAGCTGCCAGGCACCTGTGGTCTCACCATAGGATGAAAGAACTTGTTTAAGCCGCGACGATTTGACAGGGCTTTTGTGCAGAAGTGGCACCTGGAACTCCTGTTTCTCATGAGCCCAGGGCTGTGGGGCTGGCTGCCAGGAGTGAGCCATTTGCTGGGCCAGGGATTTGCCCTGCCACAGGGCCTCTTCTCACCCAGCCAGCCCAGGCTTGCCTGGGGGCCCCTTCCATGTTGAGAGGACCCATACCTCAGCCTGCGTTTGTGTCTTTTCTCACCAGCACCTGCCAGCTGAGGTTGCGCCATGGTGGAAATTTTTCCCTTTTAGAAGATTTCAGTTACTGAACCAAAAATATTAAATATGTACTTATCTGTGGTAATTACAACTAAAGCATGCGTTATCACTGCAGCTTAGTCATTTGCTTAAGTGATTTAAATGTGATACTTGTTAATATGCATATCTCGTCAAAGGGAGTCATGGGGGTGGCAGGGTTAGGTAGGCCATGCTGGCTGAGGGCAGGAGGGCAGCGGTGTCTGCGGCTCCCTCCCCGATCTTGTTCTCCCCTCCTGCCTTCCTTCCCTTTTCCCCTCCCTCCCTTCTTTCTGTCCCACCATGATGTCTTTAAGGTTTCTGTATTTCATCACCATCATCCTATTTGAAAGTTTCTTTTTTTTTAATCCATCGGTCTTTCTCAATTCATAATTAATTTCTTCCAGCCTCGCTCCCTCCTCCCATCCCTGGCAGCCCGGGGGCACCAGGTCGGGAGCTACCACCAATGTTGCGTCTTCTTAATATTCTTTTATTTACCTCTTTCCAAAGATAGAATTAGTGTGGTCCAAATTGTACATACAATTATAGGATCAAAGTGATTTGAAACCTAGAAGGCACGTTTTCTTTTAGGGTTTAGCTCACTCAGAGGTCCTCCAGCCCAGGCTCTTGCTCCGTGAAGACTTCCCTTCAGCAACAGATGGTAAATTGAGTCTGCAGAATGAGTAATCCCTTCATTTCTGTCTGAGGGTTTGTTTAGAAGCAAACAAAATGATTCCCTCTTCTTATTAAATTTGTCGGGAGAACACCAGGATCATACTAAGTTACTGTCCAAACCTACAGCTGTGAAGAGGGGATGCACAGTGACAGACAGAGACAGGCTCGCTTGACAGTTCAGAATTCAGGCTCGGGATCGTCCATGACCTCCTAACATCACACCCCAAACCCTTTAAAAAAACTGTCACTCCAGATTGTTAAAACACTGGGACATTGCCTCAGGATGTAGAACATTTATCTTACAGAGATTCCCAGTTTTTAATGAACCAAATATATTTCCTTATTTTTTTCATTGTCTTTAGTTTATCATTTATTGTCTTAACCGTTTTTAAGTGTACAGTTAAGTGGCATCCAGTACATTCACATTATTGTGCACCCTCTCCACTGTCTGTCCACAGTGCTCTTTCAGCTTGCAGGACTGAAGCTCTGTGCCCATTAAACAAACTCCTACTCTCCACTCCCAGCCCCTGGCGAACACCATTCTGCTTTCCGTCTCTGAATCCGACTCCTCTAGGTACTTCTGTTAGTGGAATCATACAGTATTTGTCCTTTTATGACTGGCTCATTTCACTTAACATAATGTCCTCAAGATTCGTCCCTGTTAGAGCATGTGTCAGAATTTCCTTTTGAAGGCTGAGTAATATTCCATCGTATGTATGTGCACATTTTGTGTATCCATTTATCTGTCAGCTGACTCTTGGGTAGTTCCTACTTTCTGGATATCGTGACTAGTAATGAATGCTGTTTCTTACATTGTAACATTCAAATGACACATCATAATGTCATTTATTCTCAATATTAGAGGAAATTTTAAAATGTTGTTTAATAGTGGAGAATTATAACATGTACCAAATATACATTATATTTTTAGTAATTGCTTGGCAATTTGGGACAACATATAAATGGAGAGTCTTTAGGTTTGGTCACTGTACAATAGATAATGTGGCTAATTCTGCCTTAGCTTCAGGGATCAAAATGAGTTTATATATATAAAATGTCCTTGGTAAAGAGAGAATGTAAATATTTATCAATAGAACCGGAATACATTGTGAACTTTCTTGGTTGTATTCTGGGTAGATAGACATTTACAGTAGAGATTTGGCAGTTCTTCCAGAAACTTCACACTTTACACTCACACTTTTGAACCCAGGTTTGAATTATATGGTGTCATTCATGGGGCTTATAAGGTTTGAAGACACACTTAAATATGTGGATTCTCTCGAATGAATGTGGAAGGAAGTATTGTACTCCTGGGGAATGCTGGTACCCTAATGGGAGTGGCTTTCTCTTTTCTCCTTTTGGTCAACTCTGTTTGTTTTGTAGTGTGAGATCTATACTGTGGGATAGTATTCTTTTTAGAATGCATGCCTGTCAGTTGTGCTGTGCCAAGATTTGCTGTATCCATTTCCAGAATGAACACTGTTTTGTGAAAGGCAGGTCTATGCAAACTACCCCAAAGTCCGAGGCAGCTGTGAGGCTGAAGAAAGAGCCTGACAAATCCTGTTTCTTAGAAAGAAACATTTAATAGAGACCTACAAACAGGAGCCGCATCTGTGTCTAGGGCAGCAGTAAGACAAGCTGGTGGAGCCCATGCCATCGCCTCCCAGACCCAGGGCTTCTATGCCATAGGGGAGGGGTGGTTCCAAAGGGACATCGTAGGACGGTTGAAGTAAGATAACATCAAGGTTGTTTGATCTGAAGGCACGATTTACTTAGTATAAGTACCTCCTCTTACACAGGAATAATAGATAAATGGGAAGTCTTAGGGGCCTTCTTGGACCAGGGGTTCATCAGAAGGCAACGTGGCAGATTAGCATCCAAGATGAAGTTGTTTTAGCCTCCAGAAGCACTGACGGTATGCCAGGGGTTGACCACGATGTGGTATGAGGCACTGGGGAATTCACTCCTATATGATCTGGGTGATTGACAAGAAATTCTAGTGGAGGTGGTGTATAGTTGTGCGTTGAGCGGGCTGGTCATGTGCCCCCCCTTTAGATGGTCCCGATCACACAGAATCACGACATGAGACAATGAGATGAGATCAGAGCTCTGTCAGCTTCATGTAGCCAAGGACTTTCAAGTTCTTTCTCAAGGAGTTGGCCCTCTTTACACCCGTCATCACAATGTTAGCAGCTCTACAAAGTAGGCGTCACGCTCCATGTGCTCTGTGCCTGTGGTTGGCCTGAAGCGTTGTCGTGGCCCTTCCCCAGGTTTGCCTTCCTTAAGGGCGCCATGTGGCCCATTTTGCCAAACCCATGTGCTTATACAGGCTGCCACACTGTTTCCATGATCGCAGTTCCAGGGTGTCTGAGTCCTGGGATGGGGGTTAGTAGCATGCATGGTCAGGTGTCTTGGGGAATCTGGGGGTGAGCACAGTTGAATACAATCTTTGCTGCAAGTTTCTCAAAAATGTTCATACACCAACGGTGTTTCATGAATCCACCGAGACCATGCAGCACTACAGCTTTGCCTGGAGAAGATTATTCTCTCCTCAGCAAAGCTCTGCACTTGTCCCAAGTCGTGATTCCCAAGAAATGGCAGCTGGGAAGCCTGGTTTGGGGGTAGCATGTGCTCCATCGCCATGGCCAAGTCAGTTCAAGCCTTTTAGCGATGGTGTGTGCCCTCAGAAGGTTTGCCATGGCCTGTTTAGCCATATTTTGTCCTTGGTTCCTGGAGGGTGATGCCTGCCTTCTTCCTAGTGTTGTGCTGCTCACCGGGCATGCCCAGTGGCTCCTCTGACTCTGCAGATCGCTTGGCTGAACCCACGAGTGCTCAGTCCTTCCTGTGGGCCTGATGCCTTGGGAAGGGCCAGTCTGGTCCCCATGTCTTCAGTGTGCCACAGCCTCCTTTTCAATTTCTTTCTATTATAGGGTTATGAGACCTCCTGACTCTAAGGGACTGTTTTATCTGGAGTTTGGTGTTGCAGGCACAGCACCTGTGAATAGTTAGTGACATTTTTTTATTCCCAACCAGGACCTAGGCTCCTTTAGGGCAAGGGCCCGTGTTGATCTGAGGATATTTTCCCAGCTCCTCACACAGGCTGTGGTGCAGACAAGGAGTCTCATAGATCATTGAATGAATGATTTAAAAAAATGGAGGGATCAAGTCCTGGAAGTAGTTTTAATTTGCTGTGCTTCCGGGTATCTTGCTTAAACATTCTGTGTTTTCTAAATTTTAAAATGGAGGTAGTATTTCTCAAATGGCTCCATAGGACATTGGTGAAACTCATTTCTGCACCAGCTCTGTGCCTGGTAGTATGCAGGATGGGGGATGCCCAGGGTATCTTTTTGTCCTTAAAATAGTCCTGTGAGGTGTAAGGAGTATTCACCTAATTTTGCCAATGTGTAGGCGCAGGGAGCCAAATAACTTGCTCAAGATCATAAAGCCTTTACGTCTGAGAAGTACGTACAGTGAAAATGCAGGGCTGCCTCACTCCAAAATCAATGTGTGTGTGTATGTATATGTAAGTATATATGTGTATATACATGTGCATATAAACAAATGTACACATTTAGGAAGTGTATTGGAAATATACATGCACACATGCATCTACAGTTGTGTACTGCATTAGTACGTTTTGGTCAACAATAGACTGCACATATGACAGTGGTCCCGTGAGACTGTAATCTTGTATTTTTACTGTATCTTTTCTATATTTAGATACACAGATACCATTGTGTTACCTGCAGTATTCAGGACAGTCACATGCTATACAGGTTTGTAGCCTAGAAGCAATAGGCTGTACCATCTAGCCTAGGTGTGGAGAAGGCTGTACCATTTAGGTTTGTGTAAGTACGGTCGATCACACCAGCAGGAAACCACATAATGATGTATTTCTTAGAATGGATCTCCATTGTTAAGTACGCATGACTAGATATACATGTACACATATGTGTATGCCTGTGTAGATGTGTATATTCTACATACTCCTAAATGTGTCCTATGGCAAGGGTGCCTTATTGTAATTCGGGCTTTTGCAGTAAATGTTAAACAAACATTTTCCCCCGCCAGCAGTCCTTTTCTTCCTTTGAGGGGTCAGGGTGTCTGGAGCTTGTGCCTAGCTCCTGTCGGATGCCCCTTCTTCTGGCCACTCTCTCGTGCCCATCTTTTCACACTCGGTTTTCCCACCCCTGAGAACCCCAGGTGCCAGTGTGTGTTTGTTGAACTGAAATTCTTAAGCCTGCTGAGTATATTCTCTGTTTGTCAAGATAGATAAACAAATACCTTTTTTAGATGATTTAAAAGATTCTTGACACAATCTCAGTGGTGTTTTAACAACGTTTCAGGTCCTGATCAGCCAAACTCTGGGCCAAAAGTAAATATTTAATAAACAACATAAGAGTTACGAAGAAAAAATGTATCTTAAGTGGAACTGTGTGTTCTGTAAATCTATGACGGATTTCTGTTCCTGCTTTTGTTGTGTATAATTACTCTTGTTCCTCCTGAGAATTGCCCTCTCTTTCATCATGAAATGTGTAAGATGGCCTCCTCCTCCGGTCATTTGGAGCAATTGGCCTGGGAGAGGATTGATGTGTAGTAAGGACAGTCCGTAGGAGAGATTTAGTGGGGCAGTTTCCTTATCTCCTTTTCTGTCCCTCTGCCAGACAGAAGCACAAAAAGTAGTTGGAGCGAAAATGCTGCCTCCTAAAATTAGCTCTCCTCTTTGTTTTCCGAATGCTGTTACTGGTTGAGTTGGGCACAGTTTGCCCTTCTTGGTGAGCCTTCTGCATTGCGTAAAAGTGCAAAGACAGATCTTCTATCAGAGAAACTAATTTTAGGTGCTAGTAAGTTTTAAGGGCATGCAAAGCTCAAAACTTTGCCAGGTCTCTTGGAGGAAGCTTTTTCCCTCCTGAAAAACAAGCTTCCTTTCAAAGTCAGAAAAGGCGGAAGCTAGACCAAGCCCCAGGAGGGCAGGTATGTCTTGTTCACTGCAGTCTCCATCCAGTGCCTTGAGAGGAGGGCCCAGCATGCTGAGTGCTCAGTAACCCTCGGCCTAACGTAGAGTTTTCCATGCTGTGAATCGGGAATGGAGCACCATAAGGGGATCTTCTGCTGGAGACAGCAATTGCAGCATCAAAATAAACGTGGCAATTTTGGTCTTAAGAGTGAAGTTGTGTCTCTGAAAATTATAAGCCCAAATGGATCATTTCCTTTTTTGGGTTTTAGAATTCCAGGTTTATTTTCTGGAAGAGCTTACAGCAGATGGGCTTCTGTGGGGGAAAGTTTATACCTCGGGGGTTCCATTTTGGGAGTCCTTGATTTATTATTGTTTACAAATGGTGGTTGGAAATTGTTCATTGATTTGACATAAAGCTGCCCAGGCTTATTGTAAAAACACCTCAGCATCCAATTAGAATGACAGACACTTAGTGTGATAACTCAGGACAGTTGATGGCCTAAAAAAAAAAAAAGCAAACAGATTAAATCACTCTCAGTTTTTTCATAGCCCTTGCTGGAAACAGATTCTGTGGGGGAAATGACAGGTGGAAAGGTTGAAGACATCCAGTGGCCATGGCAGGGGCAGGGATCAGAGGACTTGGTCTTTGCAGGGACAGTTGAGAGGGCGGGCTGTGGGAGAAGACTAGAAAACATTCAGAAGGACAAGAGTGTTGTTTGATGACTCTGCATGTGCCAGTAGTGACATTTTACTCACTGTGGCTCATATTGAGGTTAAGCCTAAGGTCTGTTGGTCTTCCAGCACGAGTTCTGCAATCAGGAAATATTATTTGCGGGATTCTTGCGCGATTGTGTTTAGAACACAGCGATGTGCAGTAAGAGACTCTTTAACTCTATCAAATTTGCATTTAGAGAAATTGTAAAGAGCCTTTTTTTTTTTTTGAGACGGAGTTTCACTCATGTTACCCAGGCTGGAGTGCTATGGCGCGATCTCAGCTCACCGCAACCTCCGCCTCCTGGGTTCAGGCAATTCTCCTGCCTCAGCCTCCTGAGTAGCTGCGATTACAGGCACGCACCACCATGCCCAGCTAATGTTTTGTATTTTTAGTAGAGATGGGGTTTCACCATGTTGACCAGGATGGTCTCGATCTCTTGACCTCGTGATCCACCCGCCTCGGCCTCCCAAAGTGCTGGGATTACAGGCGTGAGCCACCGCGCCCGGCCAAGAGCCTTTATTACCTCCTAGGTGAGGCAGTCCAGGAAAACAGTTGCTAGAAGGAGCTATTTGCAGAAATAGACAGTTGTGGTCCTTTCACATTTTAATAATTGTTCCCTGGATTTCAAGGAGTCCAAAATCCCCATAATAGATTTTAGTAACATTCATGGACTGTCGGTTTGCATATCATGAGACCTTTAGTGTGGTGTTTACTCTCTTCACCCTGATATACTTTGTATCCATGAGCATCCTTGCTACAGTTGTGCAAAGATGGCTATTTTTTATTCAGCAGTAATTAGCCACAGGGTTGAGCACTGAGATGCTTTCCTGCAGCTGTGAACTGGTTTCCGTCTTCAGCCTGGGTGGTTGGGAAGAAATGTTAGTCACCTTTTTTCCTGGTTGGTTCTGGGGCAGCTGCCATCAGGCTGCAGAGGCTGTCTGTCTGGAGCTCACCAGAGCATGAGTTCTGCTCCCAGGAAAGAGATTTTTGCAGGATTTTGTATGTGGTTCTAAAGAGACAAGTAGGTGGCACACAAAAACAGAAAATGAAAGAACCCAATTCCTCCACAACCACACACAGACATACAACCAAAAGGAAAAAAAAGCACATAATTATCATGTAGGCACTGTTGCAGCTAACCCTGATTTTGGCCTCAATTCTGGAACAAGTTAGCTGGTTTAGACAAACCCCTTATTAGGTAATGGATTGTTATTCATTCCTTCCCTTCTCCTAGTCATTTACTCTGTGAGAGCTGCTCCTACCTGACCTTCCACTGATTTTGGCAGCAGCATCTCCCAGAGCGACTGTTTCCTTCTTCAGCAGCGTTCCTTACTCAGGGTGTAAGGTGTTACTCCCACAGAGCCCCGTATCAAGTTTAATTAACTAATTGATTCAGCTCGTGCTTACTGAGTGCGAGGCAGTCGTGTGCTTTTGTTCAGTAGATGGCTGCATTTTCCCTCTAACTCCTGATCATGCTGAAGCTTCTCTTATGGTGCTCTCCAAAGACGTCAGCGTGCTGGCTCCTCAAGGGTCAGTAGGCTCTGGGGTGGTGGGGAGCCGGGAGAAGCAGGGAGGTTGGCTCTGTCTTTATTTGCCATGGAGCTCCCCCAAATGGGGTCTCTCCTTTCTCCAAAAGCTTAATGGAACCACCATTTTAAAAAGCTGAAATCCTATCTTCTGGGATATTTGGGCAGAGAAGGCTGGAGAATCCCTTTTCCATGATGGTGTAGTAGGTTCTCAGAAGTGGCTGGTGGGCCCCAGAGCGAGGCGGCTGTCATTTGAGCCTGATGATCTTCTTTCCTGGTTTCCTGACTCTGTAGCATCAGAAATGGGAAGCTTTAAAAGCTGTGCCTTGTTGGATGCACCAGGTCATCAAATAAATGTGATGTGTTGGGTGGGGGAAGTGCGGGAGGAGGGAAACAGGTGGTCGGAGCTGCCTCATGGCCGCCCACCGCGCTCCCCTTTCTTAATAGGCTTCAGAAATCTTGGAATCCATAATTCACCAACTCATGGAGTTCCACCCATGTCCCCTGTGGCTTCAAAACGTAAATGACATTTGCAGTGCTGGGAGGAAGGAGGCTGGATCCCGTTCCTTCCCTGGATGTCAGTCGTGGAGGTGCTGGCTCGTGTGCCTGAGTGCAGCGGCTGGCTTGTCATTACTGGTCTTTGCAGGAAGCCACTCTGAAGGCACTTGGGCCCTTGCCAGGCTGAGTCACAGCTGACTTAGGGAAATGCCACACAGGACGCTTGCAGTCCCCTCTGTTCTAAGCGTAGGTTTTGCAACTGCATACTCGGAAAATGAATCAGAGTGGGGGAAAGTGTGAGAGAAACAGCAGAAATGGAAGTGTAGGCAGGAGGGCCACAGTGGCTCTGTGGATTCAGACCACACCTTTGCTTCTGCTTGGCGGCCCTTCCTGTAAGGTGCGTCCTGAGGCCAGAGGCTGGGGGTATGAAAGGGAGGCTGCTGTGCTGTTAGATCCATGCTGCTATTTAGCCGACCTTTCTTTTCCCAGCTGGCAGAAACAGGATGTGTTAGAGAGGTGCTCAGACCTCATTTCAGAGCAACTGAATCAGTCTCTGGGAGGGATGGGGAGTCTGAAATGCAAACAGGTTCTTGGGGGTTACTGAACAGCAACTGAACTGAATACCCTCTGCCCTGTGGGCTCAAGCTGGTCTTGGACATTGTCTGGTCAGGACCAAGCCTGAGCTCTGCAAGCCCACTGGACTCTTGTTGCACCATCTCATTGATTGTAAAATGCACGTTTTCTTCCTCTCATGTTTTAACATCTCTGAAATCAGGATGCCTCTTCCATGGATGGTGTTTCAGGGTTTCATTGATCACATTTGTCTTCCTGAGTGGCACATAAAATTAATGGTGCTCTCTGGAGCTGATGGTGCCTGCGGTTCAGTGAACCGTGTTGCTCTTGTGTAAGCTCCTGTGGGAATATATAGTCCCACCTTCTTCTTTGTGGTGGTCAGCACAGAGGTGGTGGGAGTTGTATAAACATCAGCATTTTGAAAGTGAGGGCTTCTGTCAGTGCCCTCTCACTCTGGGGCTTCAGAAAACTTGAGCACCTGTGTTTGCATTCTCCATCAAGGGTAATGTTCTGTTGGTTCATAAGCATGATTATATCCATTATACAAACTGGGGCGCTGACACCAGAGAGAAGATAAAAGACTTGCTCAAGTGGACAACTGTGAAGTGGTGGGGACAGACCAGCCCTGTCTGATGCCGGATCCAGCGCTGTCTCTGCCAGTCAGCATGCATGCTTTTCTCTCTCCAGCCTCTTCCCACTCACCTTTATTCTCAGCGTTTCTGGGCCCCCATAATCTTAGTAATGCAGTAAAGATGATTCATTTCTTTAGTCCAGTCTTCGGACCTGACTTCTTAGAAGCAGGTCTTGCACAGTAGTTCCATTATTGCAGCCACATGCAGACTCAGTATATGAGGGCATGCCAACTCTTTTTGCTCATGGCCGTGCAGTGCAGAATTTCCAGGGATTATCTGCTCTGTTTCCTGAACATTGGAGTGATAGCAGAGTTCTGTATTCCCTGCATGCATGGGTGGTCTGTATATCTCTGAGCACAAGTCGACTTCTCTGTATAAGGGTGACCGTGCCTATGGAGGACGGCATGCACTTGCCTGAAGATTTCAGTCTGAGAAATGATACTGGATGGAGGTAAGAGGCTGAGTGCCTGCTTCTAGGAGCCATGCCTCATCCTGGGCTGGAATGAATATCTCTACACCTCAGGCTCTGTGTTCCAGCAGTATGCCGAAACTGCTGTTGGTTCGGCCCATTGCCCTGGAAAGCCAGCCGCCTGTGGTGGTGACTTTTCGGCTTCTTGTTTTGTATTTAGCTTTAATTCCCTCTGTGAGGCAGTGGAGACTGTTCATTTTATTTTACGTCAAAGGCTTCTGGAGGTTGAGATGGGAACAGGATGGTAGAACAGTAATGCATAATTATGGAGCATTTGCTGTATGGCAGGCATTCGTAAGAGTGCAGTTGTTGATATTCTTATTCTTATTGTTTGGCCTCTCCTGTCATCAGCTCTAAGCAGCTACGCCTGCTAAGCTCTGTGCAGAGGCTGCAGTGAGCAGGCAGGCAGTGAGCTTGGGCGGTGCTGGAGTGTGTCTGTTGGCCCATGTGGGGATAAACACACACCCTTTCATGCTCACAGGTGCCTTAGCCTGGATGATGATGTTTAAATTCATCCTACTGATACGCACTGTATCACTGAACAATGCTGTGGAAAGGGCACTATTATTTCCCCCATATTTTCAGTGATAAGGCAGAGGCCCATTGGCTACTTGTAGCAATGGAGGTGTTCCTTGAGGATCCAGGCAATCTGACTCTCGAGCCTGGGGCTGGACAGAAGAAAGTTGGCTCCAAGAGCCAGACTGCAGTACAGAGGAATTCCAGGCTCCATAGGTGCTATCTTCAGAAGGTACGTCTTGTCAGCAGGATGGGTACTTTTGGAATAGACAATCTTCAGTGTCATAGTGAGGTGACTTGCAGAGGTAAGGAAGGATGCCAGCCTCAGGCAGTCTCAGATGGGTCCAGGTGGTGACATCCTCTTGCAGGAGAATTAGCCACTTACACAGATTGGGAGGTGGCTCTACTAATGGAAAAGATGAATTCTTGGCCAGGGACCTGTAATTCTAGCACTTTGGGAGGCTGAGGAGGCAGGATGATCACTTGAGCCCAGGAGTTCGAGACCAGCCTGAGCAACAGAGAAAGAGCCTGTCCCTACAAAAACAATACAAAACAAACCAACAATTAGCCAGGTGTGGTGGCACACACCTGTAGTCTCACCTACTTGGGAGGCTGAGGCAGGAGTATTGTTTAAGCCTAGGAGTTTGAGGCTGCAGTGAGCTATGATCGTGCCACTGTACTCCAACCTGGGTGACAGAGCAAGACTTAAAAAACATTCCCTTTTCTTCTCATGGACTCTGTGTGTGTGTGTGTGTGTGTGTGTGTGTGTGTGTGTGTGTGTGTGTGTGTGTGTGTGTGTGTGTGTGTTTTAAGCTGTTTATTAAAGAAAGGAGAACTGCTGTAGAAGTCTTTAAACTTCCAAATAGGTTTCATGTGATTAAAAGTGGTTTACATATTGATATTTAGCAGGAATTTTGGAGTGTGACTTCAGTGAATAATTGTTACAGAAATCTTCCTAGAAGGCGCTTATTACACTGAAGACATTAAAAATGAGAATCAAGGATCTGCTAAGACTTGGACTGCTGAGGCTGATGGGTGAGGCTGCCTTTCGGGGAGGTCATGCTGTGAGTTGAGAATCTGGGCCTCCTTGTCTTCGCTGCTGGCTTTGTAGCTGTGGGCACGTCTGGATCCCCATTTCTGTGCAGGTGCAGACAGGTGAATGTTACCTGTGTGCATCAAGTGCCATGAAAGGGGTCACACGTGTTGCCCAGGCTTGGACAGGCTCATTCCTGGGGCTCATGAGGATGGAATGCTGGGCACGATCAACACAGGAGGAGAAGGCAGGCTCTGCTGCCAGGAGCTTGCATCCTGAGCCACGTGGAACTGGTTTGCTTGTGACACAAAGGGACAGTTCTGAAAGAGCAGTTCTAATTGGACATACAAGTAAGCTCAAAATAAAGATCTCCTAGGAAGTTTTCCTCATGTTTTGAAGATGATACACTTAGCCCATGACTGGGGATGGTTTGGCTTACACTTTTTCAACTTCACAATGGTGTGAAAGTGGTAAACATTCAGTACGTTCCTCAATTTACAATGAAGCTATGTCCCAGTAAACCCATTGTCAGTTGAAAATATTTTAAGTCCGTAATGCACTTCTGATATAATGGTATTTTCAACTTACAGTGGCTTTACCAAGATGTGGCCCCGTTGTAAGATTCATACAGGATGACGGATATGCATAGATATTCCTCAGCTTACAATGGGAACATGTCCCAGTAAACACATTGTAAGTTGGAAACATCCAAAGTTGAAAATACATTTAATACCCCTGACCTATCAGGTGTCATAGCTTGGCCTCGCCTGCCTTCAGTGTGCCTGGAACACTTACGTTAGCCTACAGTTGTGCAGAGCCATATTCACGCAATGCTGACAGCACAGCACACCGTAGAGAATCCATTATTTACCCTCACGGCAGTGTGACTAAGAGCTGTGAATCACTGACATTGCCCAGCATCATGAGAGAGTATCCGACCGAATATTGCTAGCCCAGGATAAGAGCCGAATTCCAGATTTGAAGTACAGTTTCTACTGAATGCATATTGCTGTCACACCATTGTAAAGTCAGAATTGTAAGTCAAGCCATGGTACGTTGGAGACCATCTGAATAACAGGATGAGATACAGAGTAGGATATATATGTTAGAAACACAGTTTCACAAACTGTGAACGTTTTCTAGATGGGCTGTCTTACTCTTTTCTGTCTCATGAAACACTTAGCTGGCAGCAACCCACTGAGTTGAATTCCCGTTCCACCAGAGGCCTCCCCTGGGCGTTGGAAGGCTCTGCCCTCTGATGGGAGTCTCCTTGGGAGCCGTGGCTGTGGAGCCCTGTAGGTGGGGTTCAGCTGCCCAGTGTGCTCCCTGCCTTTGCAGGTGAGCAGGTGCAGAGAGGCGTGGGGTGGGATGGGGTGACGTGGCAGCTGCAGCAATGGTGCTTGGGGCCCTGCAGGCTCCCTTGGGGGTGTAGCAGGGACATGATGTGGTGGTTAGCAGGAGTAGGCCGCTCACGTGGGACACCAGGACTAGTGCCACAAAGGCAGCCCTGCTCCATGAACAGGTTCTTAGGGGACAGAGGTCTGTCTGGGACTGGCTAATGTCCTGGAAAGGTAAGACTGGAGAGGCAGCGTTGTCCACCACAGGATGTATGGCTGCAGGGTAGGAGTAGACTTAAGAAGGGACACTGCCAGGGAAGCAGTCGGTGAGCCTCAAGTCAGAAAGCCGAGCAAGCTCGTTTCATGCATTTGCTAACATTTGACCTCTGTTGGGACACATGGGTCTCTCAGGTTCTCTTTCTGTTTCCTGTCATGCGGATCAGAGATGTGAAACAGACCCGGCGTGCTCCCCTCTGGGGCAGCGCTGGGAGCCAAGGCGTCCTGGCAGAGCTGGGTGTGCCTCCCACAGGCTGACGCAGCCGTTCTCTGTGCAGAGGCTGAGCCACCCCGGGGAGCAGCTGTGGGGTGAAAGTGTCCTCCTCAGGGACTTTAAACTCAGTGCTCCTGCTCCTTCTCTCAATATGATGAATAGCTCATTTAAATATTCTATGGCAGTTTTTAATTTTCATTCCCTCCCCTCCTGACCTGTGTTTTTCTTGTGTGTCAGGGACATTTTGGGGGAATCCAAAAGGATCTCTGTCTCTGCTCTGTGCTTGCTCTGAGTATGAACAGAGAATGTTCGGGGCTGTTCTTATTTGAGTCACTGGAGCTGTTGTGAACTCTGACAGCCTGGGAGCCCCACCACTGCCACATTAGGACAGGGTGTGGGGTGGCTCAAGCATGGTCCCTTGGGGTTGGGTTCCAGCACCATCACGTTGTAGGTGTCTGACCTTTGCACCAAGTTTCCCCACTTTCACTAAATAGGGATAACCAAAGCCTTGTGGGGGGATTAAGTGAGTTAATGTAACCAGAACACTGAGAATGGCGGCTTGCGCGCAGTGATGGTGCAGAACTACTCACTGCTGCTGGAGTGTGCTCCTAGATTATTTATTGGCCCCTCAGCATTTTTCTCTACCTCAGCCTTGAGGGTTTTTCTCAGCTGTGTTTCTGGTTTTTCTTCTTCAATAGATTTTTCTAGAGTCTTTTCTGGTAAAATGAGTCTGGGAATGCAAATGCAGTGAGCGTGAGTTGAGAGACGTTTGGACATTAGCCTGACCTTGGAAAATTGGGGAGGCTTGCAGTATATAGTTTCCTCTGGGCAGGTTACCGGCAGACCATGGGACCTTTGGGGGAAAATTTATGCTTTTCTCTTGACATACAAGACACCATTATCAGGCAGAAGCTGATAAAGGAATTAGAGTTGTTGTTCATACCTGACTTGCAGGAATGCGTGTGTGCATGCACATGCATATATATACACTGCATGTATATTTGCATTTATGTACACATGGACATGTGGCATGGGCATATGACACTTGCATACCTGTGCTTGCACGCATGCATGTACAGAGCACACATGCACACATATGCATGTGCATAGTATGCATGCATGTACATTCATGTGCACACACTACTCATTTGTGCACACGTGCACACTGCAGTGTGCACTTACATGCAAGTACATACAACATGTGTTTGCAGGCACATGTCCGTAGACTGTCCATGTACATTTGCATGCACACGTGTGCATGGCACATGTGTTTGCATGCACATATGCAGCACAACACAATTGTGTTTGCATTTATCTGTGTACACCTGTGTTTGCATGCATGTACAAGTATACATGTGTGTATACCTACATTTCAAGGTGAACCCTTCCCAGAAGGCTCTGCTCAGTGAAACTCTCAAAGTGTTCAAAAGTGAGGTCTGAGAAAGCATCCCTGCTTCAGGGCATGCACCCAAGTAGTCTTTCTCTTGCTGGCTGAAATCATCAGGGATTGTTTCAAAGTTTTAACTTCTGGTTTTCACTCTTAAATCCCAGAGCCAGTACTTGAACAGAAGTAAGTTTGCTGTTACGCCTCTCACTTTGATTAGCTTGTTGCATTAAATTAATTGTCAGGTTGCTTGGAACCCAAAGCTTCTTAAAATGAACACTGGTTCACTCGGGAAATTTATGCAAGATCAAAAACGGAAGATTGTCTTGCTGAGGAAAGGGAGAGAGAGTCTGAATACAAAATCTAGAGCTTTGGACCTGATATGTGGCTGCAACGTGGTCTTTTCTTGTCTTACCTAAGAAGCGGCTCCCAGGATTCACATACCAGTAGCCTCTTTTTTGTTATTCTTTGTTTTTTTTTTTTTTTTTTTTTTTATAACATATCCTCTTTTTAAAGATCCTCTTGATTGCAAGCAAAAGCAGCCTGCTGTACAGGCTGGCTTAAACAGGAAAGGGAATTTATTGTGGGGACACGGGAGGGGTCTCATGTTACTGAGAGGAAGAAGGCTGGCTGGCCTCAGAAGGCATGAGAACTGGGACCTGGGTCCAGCCAAGTTCACAGTGGCCACAGCTGGATCTCAGCTTTGCTCCTCCAGGCAAAGTGGCTGCTTTCTCCTCTCTCTGCAGTGGGGTTTTCACTGCCCAGGACTCCTGTGTCTACTTGTGGGTCTAATCTCCTAGCATCGGCTAAGCCTGCACCTCCTTGAGAAAACTGATTAGCTTAGCTTAGTTTGTGTTCATTCCAGGCGCACCCTGCAGGGAGTGCAGCCTGCACGTGGGGTGGGTAGTTTTTAAAGGGGGCCTGCCTCTGGAGGCGCTGGGGGCCTGCATTTAGAGTGCGTGCGTGGAGCATGTGGCTTGTTCCTGTTTCATGGAGTCACAGAGATCAGAAAGCGTTTATGCCTGTCTCTGAGGGAGATGCTCACACCCGGTCTGAATGGGCAGGATTGGGGTGAGGATGGTGGAGGAGGGCTCTGGCTGCACGGGCCCTCTGCTGCCAGGGCCACTTCAAGCCACTCTTCCCTTGCTGGGCTGTGATTCGTTCTTTTCCAAGTGACTTAAACAGAGACCTTTTCTCTTGCTTGTTGGGGTAAGGATGGTGAAGGAAGAGGGAGAGGGTGGCTGAGTGGAGGCAGCACAGTTGTGCTGCGGAGATGCCTGCTCTGCAGCTTGTCTGCTGTGGAGCGGCCCAGGGGTAGGTAGTACAGCAGGGCGCGGGGAAGGGGGACTGGGCCCTGAGCCAGGACAAAATCTTGTACTGAGCAAGCATCTTTTCCAGTAAATCAGCATGTCACCATGCTCTTAGGAAATGCCCGGGGCAGCCCCATTCTGTCCTGGATTTTCTTCTGGGCTTTGCTGTCTGTTTAGTGCAGTCCAGTGGCCTTGTAACTGTGGAGAGGTGAAGGTCTCAGCACCTTCTGTGTGCCCTCTTGCATGTGTGTTTGCAAGCATGCCTGGGGCTTGCTTCAGGTGTTTCTGGCCTGAGGAAGTGTCCTGTCCCCATGTGATTTGGGTGGTAGCACAGCATCTGGAAGGAGGGGTAGAAGCCCAGCGTTGAGCCCATCGGATGTGCTGCCCTGAACAACTCTGTTGATGCCAGAGCTGCCTGACCTGCTCTGTGTGGCGCTGGGAAGGTCAGGCTTGGAGAGCGAGGAGCTGCTGAAAAAGGATGAGCTTTGTTCTCTTCTTCCAGGGCTCAGTCTTCTTTGTACCAATCACTCTCTCTGTTCTCTCCTCCTTGACTCAAGAATCCAGTTTGCACAGCACTTATGTGGTGGGTGAACTCCAGTTTGTACCTGGAGCTACAGGGTGGAGCTGCTGTCAGCTAGGAGCTGTTACTGAGAACCAGCTGTGGCAAGGGTGATTAAGAAGACCCGACCCCACCCGCAGGGGCAAGAAGCCTGCAGAGCACAGCTCAAGAGTCATGTGACAGCATAGCCCAGTGTCCCGTGCAAAGTGCTCAAGAAGTGGATGGGATGGGTCACTGCTGAGTGGGACCTGAGGAGCTCAAAGTATCTTGTGGCTGATGTTGCCTGTTGGGACTTTCCCCAGCACAGACAGCATGTGGGATTTCAGATGCTCTTCTCCTTGCCTTCCGAAGCCCATGGAGTGTTGGCAGCTTATTTGCACCTGATAAGATAAAAGAGGTCATGATCTCTGTGAAGGTGCTTTTCGGGAAAGGGGTCACTGGCCTTGCCACATGTGGGAAGCGAGGCCTCTATTCCCAGTTCCGCCTGTGACTCATGGCTGTGGCTCAGGGCAAGTCATTGAATTTTTTTTCCCCGAATGATGTCAACATGTGCTGAGCATCTGACTTACTGGGTGAGGCGATGAATGAAGGACTTAATCTCTGTGCAGTGCTTGATGTGAAGGAATGAAAACCATTGCGTTCCCAGCCTTGGGTGTCAGATTCTCATTAGGGAAAGCGGTTTTTGATGTGTGTTTCCTTTCAGTTCGGAGCTGGGTTCAGTTAGCTCAGGGGGTTTCTACCCATTTAGCTGTCTCTGGTGATCGGAGCGTCTCGGAAACGGGCGTCCACAGTGATTCCTATGACCACATTCAGGGTCAGGTTTTCAGTTCAGCTTCCTGGTGTTTCCACGCCCCATTCTAGGGGGAGGCTTAGTTGTTCCTTTCCCTGCTGTCACTCGGCAGCTTCCGGCCATTCCTGGTGAAGAAATCTTCCCAAGTGAATCTCCCCTGGCGAAGTTCAGTGAGACGTTTGAGGTTAGTAAATGGACAGACGTTTCCTACACTATTACGTCTGTATGTTGAACAGAATTATTGCTCAGGGGTAGCAAGGTAGGAGGAATTCTCAGCCAGAGAAGGGGCTTCGGTTAAGCCGGGCACGGCCAAGGCATGAACGGAGAAACAGCGTCGGTGGTGGAGCAGGTAGACATTCCCTTGACCTCAGAAGTTTTGGATGCCAGCTGGCGAGCTGGCCTGTGGGCTGGAAATGATGCAGCTGACCCAGGAAATGGATCAGACCTTTTAGTCTGGTCCAGAACGCTGAATCGAGCTCTTGGATCTTGGTGCTAAATATATGGTGTGGCATTAATGGCAGTAAAGATGGATGCTTATGTATGTAGAAAGTGCAAATCTATTTTCAACACGCTTTATTTTTTAGAGCAGTTTTGGGTTCACAGCAAAATTGAGCAGAAGGAACAGCGAGTTCCTGTATACCCTGTACCCCAACATCTAGCTTCCCTCCGCAGAGTGGTATGTTAGCTACAGTCCACGAACCTACACTGGCACATCCTTACCGCCCAAGTCCACAGCTTACATCAGGGTTCACTCTTGCTTTTATACATTCTGTGGGTTTGGACAAATGTACAGACACACCTCGGAGATAATTGTAGGTTTGATGTCAGGCCACCACAGCAATAAAGCAAATGTGGCAGTCAAGCAAGTCACCCACATTTTTTGGGTTTCCTAGTGCCTAAAAAGTCATGTTTACACCATACTGTGGTCCATGAAGTGTGCAGTAGCCTTATGCCTAAACAATGTATGGCTCTTAATTTCAAAATATTTTATTACTGAGAAATGCTAAGGATCATCCGAGCCTTTAACAAGTCGAGTCATAGTCTTTTTGCCTGGATGTTGATGGCTGCTGACTGATCAGGGTAGTGGTTGAAGGTTGAGGTGGTGGCTGTGACAGTTTCTTAAGACAACAGTGCAATTTGCTATATTGATTGACTCTTCCTTTCACAAAAGATTGCTCTGTAGCATGCAATTCTGTTCAGCATTTTGCCCACAGTAGTACTTCTTTCAAAATTTAGGAGCCAGTTTCCTCAAACCCTGCCATGTCTTTGTCAGCTATTCTAAATCCTTTGTTGTAATTGTGACATGCTCACAGCATCTTCCCTAGGAATAGATTCCATCTCAAAAACCACTTTCCTTGCTCTTCCATGACTTTGTCCAAGTTTTATCATAAGTTTGCAGCAATTCAGTCACAGCTGTCATCTCCACTTCTAGTTCTCTTGCTGTTTCCACCACATCTGCAGTTTCTTTCTCCACTCTAATCTTGAACCCCTCAGTCATCCATGAAGGTTGGAATCAACTACTTATACACTCCGCTTAGTGTTGATATTTTTATCTTTTCTGTGAATCACGAATGCTCTTAATGGCAACTGGAAGGGTGAATTCTTTCCAGAAGGATTTCACTTGACTTTGCCCAGTTCCGTAAGAAGAGTCACTGTCTATAGCACCTATAGCTTTACAAGATGTATTTCTTACATAAGACTTAAAGGTTGTAATTACTGCTTGATCCATGGGCTGCAGAGTGGATGTTGTGTTAGCGGGCTTGAGAACAGGATTCATTTCCTTGCGCATCTCCGTCAGAGCTCTTGGCTGACCAGGCGTGTTGTCAGTGATCAGTAGTCTTTTGACAGGAATACTTTTCTTCTGAACAGTCTCAACATAGATTTAAAATCTTCTATAAACTGTGCTGTAAACAGATGTGCTGTCATCCATGCTCTGTTCTTCCATTTCTAGAGCACAGGTAGAGTAGATTTAATGTAATTCTTCAGGGTGCTAGAATTTTGGGAATGGTAAATGAGCATTGGCTTCAGCTTAAAGTCCCCAGGTGTGTTAGCCTCTTACAGGAGAATCAAGACTGTCCTTTGAAGCTTTGAAGCCAAGCATTGGCGTCTCCTTGCTAGCAATGATGGTCCTAGGTGGCATCTTCTTCCAATAGAAGGCGGCTGTAGGATGGCCACCTTCATCCGTGATCTTAGGTAGATCATCTGGGTCTTAGGTAGATCTTAGGTAGATCGCTGCAGCTTCTCCATCAGCACTTGCTGCTTTACCTTGCATGTTTATGGTGTGGAGGTGGCTTCTTCCCTTAAACCTCATGAATCAACCTCTCCTAGCTTTTGGCTTTTCTTCCGCAGCTTCCTCACACACTGTTAGCTTTCACAGAATTGAAGAGAGTAAGGGCCTTGCTCTGGATTAGGCTTTGGCTTAAGGAAATGCTGTCGCTGGTTTGATCTTCCATCCAGACCACTGTTTCTCCATATCAGCAGTAAGGCTGTTTGGCTTTCTTATGGTTCGTTTGTTCCCTGGAGTAGCACTTGTAATTTCCTTCAAGAACTTGTCCATTGCATTCACACTTAGCTTACTGGCCTTCCTCAGTGAGCTTAATCAAGTCTAGTTTTCGATTTAAAGTGAGAGGTGTGCCACGCTCCCCCTTTCACTTGAGCACTCAGAGGCCATTGTAGGGTTATTCACTGGCCTAATTTAAGTACCGTGGTATTGCAGGGAATAGAGAGGCTTGAGGAGAGGGGGAGAAATGGGGGAGCCGCCAGTCGATGGGGAAGTCAGAATACACGCTGTTTATCCGCTAAGCTTGCCATTTTATATGGTTCGTGGTGCTCCAAAATGATGACTGTAATATCATCAAAGACCACTGACTGCAGACCACCATAAGATATTACCATGAAAAAGGTCAAAATATCGTGAGAATGGCCAAAATGTGACACGGAGAAGAAGTGAGCACGCGCTGTTGGAAAAAAACTGGCAGTGATAGACTTGCTCGCTGTAGGGTTGCCACACACCTTCAGTTTGTAAAAAACACAGCATCTGTGAAGTCCATCAGAGTGAAGTGCAGTAAAGCAAGGTATGCCTGTCTGATGAAAGCACCCGCCTCACTCTGTTCTGGGCAGCGTCATATGGAAAAGCTTCACTCCCCTTGGAATTGTCTGTGTGCTCCCTGTCGCCCCTCCCTCTCAACCCGTGATAACCACTGATCATTTTACTGCCTCCATCACTTTGCCTTTCCCCGAATGTTGGACTCGTTCGGTATGTAGCCTTTTCAAATTGGCTTCTTTCGCTTAGTCATATGTATTTAAGGTTCTTCCATGGCTGTTCATGGCTTGACAGCTCATTTCTTTTTAGCACTGAATACTATTCCGTTGTCTAGATATACCACAGTTTATCCACTTGCCTAGATGTCTGTCCATCATGACAAAGGGCATCTTGGTTGCTTCACATTGCAGCAATTATGAATAAAGCTGTTGTGAACACGTGTGTGCAGGTTTTTGTGTGCACATAAAACTTGTGTGGACATAAATTTTCAGCTCCT